GCCCAGGCTGGTCTTGAACCCGGAGGCTCAGGCAATCCTCTTGCCTCCGCCTCCCAAAGTGCAGGATTACAGGCGTGAGCCAGTGTCAGGCCCCTTTGCTCACTTTCAAATTGGGTTGTCTGCTTTTGTTGTTGAGTTGTAGTACTTTATATATGAAGGTGGAACCCCCCAAAATGGAATTTTTTTTGGAGGGCAGATCCCTTGCAATACAGGCTAACCCCAATAGGTAAGTGTTCTAAAACCCATGGACATCAGTATACCAGCTAATGTTTTGAGAGGCTGCATTTGGCTTCAGTGAATTTTTTCAGATCCTTTCAACACATTTTCCCATTTCATGATGGGTGGTTTACAAGTGCACCTGCCCAGACCGCGCTGAGTGTCGAGCATTTTTTGACCAAAATCGGCAGGACCTCTGTGCCCCGCCCCCCCCATTCATCCAATCTCACCTTGAGTAGCTTTTGTTTCCCCAGATGAAAAAAGTCCTCAAAGGAACTGTTGTGAAAGAGGTGAAACAGAAAACAGCATCAAAATCGACAAGTTCAAAAACTGTTCTGAGTAGTGGAAAAAGCATCTTGACAGGTGCATTGCATCAAACCAAGAGTACTTTCAAGGGAACTCTTTTTTTTTAAATGTAAGATTACACATCTTTTTATAAACAAATTTCAGGTTTTTTTGGGTCTCCAGCACCTCGTATTCTACGTATTAATCAGCTTGCAGTTATTTTCTATTCAATGGCTTTTCTTCTTTTAAATTTTTTAAATGTTAGCCGGGCTCTGCGGCCCAGCTTGTAATTCCGTGCTTTGGGAGGCTGAGGTGAGTAGTTTGCCTGATCCTGCGGGTTCAAGACCCACCTGGGAACCTCGGCGGGACGGACCTCATCTCTACAATAAATAAAAAAAAATTAGCCGAGCGTGATAGCACACGCCTGTAGTTCCTGCTACTTGGAAGGCTGAGGCAGGATCGCCAGAGCCCAGCAGGTTGACGCTGGAGTGGCCATGAGTGTGCCACTGCACTCCAGCCTGGGTGACAGTGAGACTCCAACTCAAAAATAAAATAAAATTTTTTAAATGTTAGTAGGTTATATGCAAATATGCCACTTGTTTTTTTTGAGTAGAAGTCTATCATCCAGGCTGGAGTGCGGTGGCACACTCATGGCCACCCCAATGTGGACCTGCTAGGCTCTGGTGATCCTTCCACCTCAGCCTTCCAAGTAGCCGGAACTACAGGTGTGTAGTACCATGCCTGGTCTGGCTAATTTTTATGTATTTATTGTAGAGACGAGTTCTCACCAAGATGCCCGGGGCTGGTGTCCAACTGGCAGGTTCAGGCAATCCAGGCACCTCAGCTTCCCAGTGTTGGATTACAGACATGAACCACCACACCCAGCTAGTAGTTTGATAACTCTATTTGTGTAAAGTTAGTAATAACATCCTATCCTTCACTTTATTTTTTAAACTAAGATTAAGAAGACAAAAAACCTCCCACAGTGGGAGAGGACCCGAGGGGGTTGACCCCACTTTTGATTTGATTTTTAGAGTTGGGAGTCTCACTGTTGCCCAGGCTGGAATGCAATGGCACGCCCACGGCCATCGTATCCTCGACCTGCTGGGCTCAGGCAATCCTTCCACCTCAGCCTTCCAAGTAGCTGGGACTACAGACGTGTACCACTATATCCGGCTAATTTTTTAATTTATTGTAGAGATGAGGTCTCACCAAGTTGCCCAGGCTGGTCTCAATTGAACCCAGGGACTCAGAAAATCTTCTCACTTTAGCCTCCCAAAGTGCAGGGATTATAGGCGTGAGTCACTGTACCTGGCCACTTTTAATTGTAGAGACGAGGTCTTAAACCACGTTGCCCGGGCTGGTCTTGAACCCCTGGACTCAGGCAATCCTCTCACCTTGGCTTCCCAGAGTGCTGGGATTATGGGCTTGAGTCACCATGCCTGGCAAAGTATTTTGTTTTTGAGTCAGGGTATCATTCATCTCCTAGGCTGGAGTGCAGTGGCACGATCACCACTCTCCGCAGTCTCACACCTATGGTCTCAGATGATCCTTTTGCCTCCGTCTCCCGAGTAGCTACAGGCACTTGATGCTACACACAGCTAATTTATTTTTTTGTAGAGATGAGGTCTATGTTGCTTAGGCTTGTGTTGAACTCCTGGCCTCAAGCAATCTTCCTGTCTCAACTTCACAAAGTACTGGGATTACAGGTGAGAATGACTGTGCCCAGCAAGTTTTAATTTCCACTTGTTTGTGAACTTTTCAGTATGTTCATACCCTATAACCCATGAATTTCACCTTCATGTACATGTCCATCAGGTATTTATAACAAAACTACACAAAAAGAGACATACAAGATGTTCATTGTTGGCTATGAATAGCGCCAAAATTTATTTATTTGAGTTGGAATCTCACTCTGTCACCCAGGAGGGAGTGCAGTAGCACACTCATGGCCACCACAGCTTTGACTTGCAGGGCTCAGGTTATCCTTCCACCTCAGCCTTCCAAGTAGTTGGAACCAAGGTGTGTACTACCACGCCCAGCTAAATTTTAAATTCTTATTGTAGAGACGAGGTCTCACCAAGTTACCTAAGCTGGTCTCAAACCCACGAGCCCAGGCAATTCTCTCACTTCCACCTAATAGCACCAAAATTCAAATGATCCAAAAAATGGTTAAATAAGATGAACTGTATTCATGTAATAAAATTCCATACAGCAAGGAAAATAAACTACACTAGGCTGGGCTCAGTGGCTCAGTCTATAATCCCAGCACTTTGGGAGACCGAGGTGAGTGAACTGCCTGAGCCCGTGGATTTGAGACCAGACCCAGCAACTTGGCGAGACCTTGTCTCTACAATAAATAAATAAATAAGAAAAATAAAATCAATTACTCTCCATGATTTTACAAATAAAACACAGTAGTACCTCCTATTACCTGCAACTTAACTTTTCAAGGTCTCAGTTACATGGTTCAGTACAATGAGGTATTCTGAGACCACATTCACAAAGCTTTTATTATAGTATATAGTTATAACTGCTCTATTTTTAGCTATCAGCCTCTTATTGTGCTTAAATTATAAATTAAACTTTATCATATCTAAGTGTAAATAGGAGGAAACAGCATATATAGGATTTGATACCGTCCAAAGTTTCGTCTACCCATTGGAGGCCTTGGAAAGTATCCATATGGATGAGGGACTATTGCATTGAGCAACAGAAGTCACTCCCTCAATACATATTGAACGAAGAGGCAGACTAAATTATGTGATTAGGGTTGTGCCTTTAGTAGTTACTGTAATTTTTTTTTTTTAATTGGAGTCTCACTCTGTTACCCAGACGGGAGTGCAGTGGTATGCCAGGCTCAGTGAGTGCTGGGCTCAGGCGATCCTTCTGCCTTGGCCTTCCAAGTAGTTGAAACCACAAGCGTGCACCACCACGCTCAGCTAATTCTTTGATTTTGTTTTTCTTTTTGAGTCGGAGTCTCACTCAGTCGCCCAGACTGGAGCGCAGTGGTCGCTCCCGGCCACCGCAGCCTCGATCTGCTGGGCTCCAGCGATCCTTCCACCTCAGCCTTCCAAGTAGCTGGAACTACAGGTGCGTGCTACCACGCCCAGCTAATTTTTGATTTATTGTAGAGATGAGGTCTCGCCAAGTTGCCCAGGCGGGTCTCGAACCTGCGGGCTCAAGCAATCCACTCACCTCAGCCTCCCAAAGGCGCAGGATTACAGGCTGAGCCACCAAGCCCAGCTAATTGATATTTTGTAGAGACGAGGTCTCACCAAGTTGTCCAGGCTGGTCTCGAACCCATGAACTTAGGTAATCCTCTTGCCTCTTTTTTCTGAAGCACTGGGATTACAGGCATGCCCAGCTAGGCCCAATAATTAAAAAAGAAAAGAATATTTAATTATGGATGATATGATAGTTTCTGTTCAAAATTCTTTCCTCTTATTCCTCTGAGAACTTCTTGGGTCTTGAGGATGGCAGCTCAGTCTCCCTTCCTCATGGAAAGCTGCCATATCTCACTCTTATCACACTTTTGACTTCTCACTGGCCTAGAGAATTGTCTCAGTTAACATGCTCCAGGAGAGAAACAACGCAGCTGGGTGACTCAGTGCCCACCAAAGTCAAGTACAATGTCAGGAACGTAGTAAGCAAATTGTCTGCACTGGAAGGTAGGCTTTTAGGTGGGCATGGTCGCTCAGCCTGTAATCCCAGCACTTTGGGAGGTGGAGGCGAGAGGATTGCTTGATTTCAGGGTTTCAAGACCAGCCTGGGAAACTAGGCAATGCCTTGTTTCTACAATAAATCAAAAAAACCAGCCTGGCACGGTAGCACTTGCCTGTAGTCCTAGCTACTTGAGAGGCTGAGGCAGAAGGATCACTTGAGCCAGCAGGTGGAGGCTGCCAAGTGGCTGAGTGTGCTACTGCACTCCAGCTTGGGCAACAGAGTGAGACTCCGACTCAAAAATCGCTGGGTCTACCAGATAGGCATGGAGAAGAGCAGAGAGGCTAAGGGAGAGCCCTACCATTGCCATGCCCATTCCCCGCTTTTGCTTTGCTCACAGTACTCATCCATGTCGGCAACCGGCACATTCGCGCTTCTGCTGCCCCGATTCCCATTCAGAGGGCAAACTCTGTGTGTGTGTGGCTGGAGCAGTATGGAGCACTGCAGTGCAAGACTTCCAGGACAGTCGTAGTGCGTTCTGCTCAGCGTAGCCTCCCGGTGCCGTTGTGAGGCTAGCCAGAGCTGAGCAGACAGTCTCTCAGCCCAGCTAGCCTCTGAGCAGACTCTGCTCTCAGGTATCCTAGGGCCTGGACTGGACGGCTCTGCCCCACGAACAGCCTCCCACATGGGTGACGAATGACTTCTGGACAGGGCGCTTTGCTGAGCACCCAATGATGCAGAACACGCTGCACGTGAGGCAGATGAGAGTCACACATCTCAGCCAAAGCGGGGGAAGCAATTTCTATTCCAAAGAGCAAACGAAAGCATGAAAAAGATACCTTGTTCAAATTAATGGTTTTATTTCTACCTTTAACACTAGCAGAGGAGTCCAAAACAGACTGATGTCTATGAGTATCGTTTAAGTGTAACAAAGAAAGAGTTGAACTATGTACATTGAGAAAAGGACTTTTTCATACCAACCTTTTCCTAGCTTACAGCTTCTGAATAGTAGAAACATATATATATTTTTACCAATTTAATTTCGGATGACATAATACAACTTTTATGATCAACCATTTAAATTGTCTTTAAGGACAAAACTTAAATTCTAAAATGGTTGTTGCCATATTTATGAATGGACTGCCTGCATGGTCACCTTCCTCCTGAAGGATTCCATTAGAACCTAACAAAAGAGCATTTCCATAAAGCCCAGAAGGAACTTAATGGCAATAACGTCCAGTCAGAGAGCAGACATCACACATCATCAAGATGAGAGCTGATGTTCCTGCCTGCTTTGACTCCAAGTAGAAAATTATTACTTTCATTCAAACTAACTGGAAGTGAGCCAAGCAGTTAAAAAGTCAGAATGAAGAATAAAACAATTTTCTTTTCACATAGAGGAGGGATACTCCTTCAGCCCCATTTAAAGTGAATTCTGTGCTGAGTCCCTGCTCCTTCAGAATGGCAAACTGAAGGTCAGTTATTGCTAGCAAAGCCAGAAGTGGCCCCTTTTCCCACTTTGAAGATTTTTTACACGAAAAGGCTGTTGGTTTGGCTTGAAGCCCTCTGAGGAAGGAGGAATAAAGAGATGGAGCAGGCTGGCACTGCACGGTCTCTCCCCTATCAGTTACTCCATACCCCGTGCTGCTAGGGGCAGAATGAGCCACCCTGCTGCCTCTGAGAGACCCCAAGGCTACCATACACCTATGGAGTGGCAGAGCAGGGGTCATCTGGGCCCCTGGGGAAGATAAGCCACTGTGTTTCACCAACCAAAAACCCATGGAGCAGTCAAAAACCCAAGAGATCAGAATCCAACTGGGCAGAAGAGCAGCTTCTAAAATAAATGCCACTGGGTGGGCCAAGTTCTTTAAAATGTGGGGCAACAGTGACTTGGGCAAAAGCATGAAGCGAGCAGCTAATAAGGCCACAATTACTGCCACACCCCAGTACCCATGCTTGGGCAGACGTTAAGGGAGTGGGAACTGAGGACTGGAGGGCGTGTGGTGAACGCGAGATGAATCTCATCGGAGGGGAGAGAGGACGCCCAAACACGTGCCTGCGCTGTTTACCTTGCACATCCTGTGCGGGGTGAGGACTCTGGAGCGTGGGTGAGGTTCCTGAGAACAGCTGGCGGACAGAGATGGGCTGGGATGGGCACTGTTCCACAGGCGACATTAAGCCTCTGAGGGGGACACTAACAGGGCTACATCTCCTGGGCTGCAGAAAGCAGGTCAAGAATGGGCTTTATTGCACTTTTTCGTTCTTAGGAAACGGGATTGCCCTGCAGAGGTTCTCTTGATTTGCAGAAATCACTACACATCAACGATAAGGTGCAGGCGGAATCACAGGTGGCCTCTGACTCTTAAGGGAAAAAGTAGTTCAGTAATTGGTCTTTCCAGGGCCTCAAGTGGCCTCTCTTGCACTTGGAATCCTCGAGCTGGGTGGACTGTGTCTGGCTTGGTCAATGTGTGGCAGGCAGACTGGATGACTGGCAGACACTTCATATGAAATGTGCCTGGGAGAGCTGGGGCAAACTTTCCAAACAGGAAACATTTCTTGGCAAACATGTAGGTTCTGGAAACAAACTGGAACCGCGATTTTCAATTCCAATGTGCCTGACTTCCTCCCACTCCAAAACCGGACCACCCCAGAGGAGCAAAAACGTAGAGCCTGGCCTGGGAGGGCCCTGGGTCCAGCTCCACAGTATCAAACTAGAGATAACAAAAGGATCTAAGAGGGGATTTGGAACAAAAGAGTAGTTTACACATCAGATGTTGGTTTCATTGAGCTCAGGAAAATTGAGGCAGATACCATGTGGAGAATCCAGCCAGGCTCTCTGTCCATCTGTCTCTCCTGAGCAGCTGGGTACACTTCATATATAAATGGGGTGGTACCGTTTGTGGTTGATTTTTTTCCTACAAGTTGGGCAAGTGTTAGCATTCTTAAGGGAATCACGGAGGCACTGGCTACAGAAGACGTGGCCACATTCTGTAGAAACAATAAGACGTCCATTCTGCACAATCTAGAAGATATTAAAAAGAAGAGCCTTCAAATTTACCCTTGTTCTAAAGCAGCGGTGGTCCCCAAAGAATCCCACCCGTGTCCATCCCTGAGATGACCAGTGAGAGGGAAGGAAGGGCTGCAGCAGGAGAGCAGGGAGGTTAACGGTACCTGCTGTGCCACTTCAGTAAGACAAGTACCGGTGGTCTGGGATGGAGAACGGGAGGCAAGAACCAAAGTCCCTCCCAACAGTAGCAGCCCAAGAGGGTTAAGAGGAAGCCCATCAACACCAGTTGCTTCTGCTTAGAGCCAGGAGACACAAAAGGCTGATGCACTTGCATGGGAAAGCTCAAGGGTAGACTGGTTGAAGGAGAAGGCTGCAGAGCCCTAAAAAAATGGGCACATTTTCCCTTCACACAAAGTTCTGCAATAGGATATGACCCAGGCATGACTGCAGGTAGGGCTGTCAAATCCCACCTAAGAAGATCCTGTCTCATCTAATTCATTCACTGAAGCAGTTCAGAAATCAGAAGCAGGGAAAATATAGCTTGGTTTACTTACCTCTGAATATCCATCCATGCAGATCGGACAACTGACAGTACCTAAGGGCCTAAGATCACAGTGCTTCACATCAGTTTCTCAGCTATCCCAAACATTTGATTATATCTTGTAAGTACTTCATATAAACAACACATGTCCCCTACAAGAGTCCCTCCCTGGCCTCCTTTGATTCTGCCTCAGCATAGACATCCAGGAGACTTTCAAGAAAGCAGACTGCCCCAAGGGCATGTGGCAGGGTGACCATGGAAAAGAGGAGGGGAGACATGAGAGACTGGAACAAGGAAAGGTACAGACAACTGAGTTGCCCTGCTCTCCTCCCACTCTCCACCCTGTGTTCACTCAGAGGGACCCTCAGGATCCCTGTTGAGGCTGGAGATATGCCTGCCACCCCTCAAGCATTTCTGCTATAGGAGATTGGGGCCACCAGGCCTGGCACACCTTAGTCAAGTTGGGAATGGCCAAGCTCCACTCTAGATCTGGTTCTAACTGCGTCCAGCTGGCTAGGAAGATGGTTGGCCAAGTTCTTCGAGAGCCAAGGCCGCATAGATTTGCTAAGGCCTCCTACCCCAGCAAAGCAGCAGCAGAATGGGGGGCACGTTGGTACCTGAGTCCTGTGGCTCCCTCATCCCTTGCGTTTCTGGGAGTGTGGGTGGTCACATACACGTCTCTGTCCCTGGACAATTCCTCATCGTCACTGCTCACCACACAGCTGTCCGCAAGGTCCTGGCGCAGCCTCCGAGCATTCCTCCTTGGCCTCCTCCTTTCTAAGGCGAAAGGTTGGATTTTCAGGCTTAAGGCTCCCTGCTCTCACCACCTCACCAGCCCACCCCAATGCTTCTTCTGTTGCAGGAAACCCCCAGGGAGAAACTATCGCCACGCCCAGCTACACCCCAGAAGGTGCTATCCAGGAGCAGTCTAAAGTGGTTAGCCTTCTCCAAAATCCGGTAGGTCCCAAAGCAGGACTGCAGCTCGGTGCTCAGCAACAAGGGTGAAGTTTCTTCAGCAGGTACAAGGGACTGATTGTGCAGGTCTGAACACAGTATTTTAAGAGGATCTTCCTGCCCGGAGCTCTCCAACCCCTTGGGGACAGTCTGACAAGGCCTGCAGCGCCGTAGCCCTCACCCATGCCAGCTCTCTCTCCAAACCCGATGAAAACACTCACCATCAACAATCTTTTAAAAAGAGAGAAAAAAAGAGAGAGACACACAATCAGTTTGACTTCAGTGATAAAATGAAAGCATTTCTTGCTTCTAATGAGGAATACTCTCTGCAGAATCCTCGGCTAAGCAGCAGAGTCCCCACACACCCCTAGAGGCTCCAGCTCACTCTCTCTCCTGGGTTAATGAAGGCCCTTTCCAGGTCACTCTGCCTCCCTGAGGCTGATGTGCAGCGCCTCATCCCGCTGAATACTTGGTGTCTCTGTGAACACTGAGTACAGCTACACCACGTACTGGCTGCACAACTGGGGATGTTACTGTCTGGGTGCTGCAGCTTCCTCTTCGGAAAACCAAAGGCACTGGCGTCCATACCTTGTCAAGCTGTTGTGAGGACTATGTGAGACAACAAACACTCAACACAGCACAAGGGGCGTGGTTCTCAGTAAATGCTGCCCATGCCCATTCCCACATGTGCTCTTGGTACTAATGGGGTCAATGCAGATCCCTAACAAAGACGGAGCCTTTGTCTGGAGGAGGGTTTGCAGCGTTCAATACATTACTGCAGATAAACAAACAAAAGCACAGACTGATGAGTATGGCACACACCAAGAATTGCAATCAATTTAGTCCTGTGTTCTTGAGGCCTACAAAAAGTTATTGAGAACTTGACAAATCTCTCACCTGTTGTCTCAGAACTTCCATTCAGACAATTTCTGCTACTATACTTTCAAAATTGGTCTCTTCTACCTTCTGGCTTGAGTTACCACACTTACCCATCTATGGGATGGCCAGTAACATACCCTTTCTCTCTTGCTCAGCATGCAGGAGGAACTTCAGGAAAACTCTCACCACAAAAGTCCTGCTGCTCACCTGATTTCAGCTGCCTCATGGCACAATGTCCTGCCCTGCGGTGACAGGAAAGTCTAAGCTTCTATTCTAATTTCCTTGCAGCAGGAATTCTGGATATAAACTAAGTTCTCACAATCACACTCATGCTACCGGCAGAGCAAGATAGTGGGGGTCAACTTCAACTGCTGTGGGGGGTCGCTGCTGGCACAGTTAGAATTATCGAGAGGCAGTTCCAGGCAGAGGCTATAATGTCTTAAGCCCAGGTCCCTCCTCCCTATAAAGGGGCTACAATAGTGTCTACTTGAACCCAAACATATTAGTGTGGGGAATGGTTTCCATCTCCAGACCTTCTGCTTGGAGCAGACACAGCAGCTCCCCAACTGGATCCATGCTGTGGGGCCAAGAGTCATTCCTAGAGACCTAGCCTGGAGGCTGCTCTTCCAGGAGTTTCAATGCCATATAAGTAATTCCTTCCATATGCTAAAATTCATTTAAGCTTAAGAATAACAAGTAGATTTTGTTTCCCATACTAAACTCTACAGATACAAATAGCCATTCTACCTAGGAAAAACGTAGGTCTGAGTATAAATACCTTTATTTTGTAGATGAGAATATAACCTACACACACATATACTGAAAGCATTTCCTCTTCCTCCCAGCGGGGACTATAGAGGGTGACAATGGAAATCTGGGGACAGCCAGTCAACCTAATCACCAGGATCATGCTTACTAGGACTGGCATAAGGTATTGTCCACATGAAATCTAGAAAAGGAGGAACCCAGACAGGGAGGCTCTGGTTAGTAGTGCTTGTCCTTGGGGAAAGCCCTGAATTTAGCTGAAAGCAGAAGCAAATTCTGCTGTGACAGAAATGAATCCAGCTTTCTAGAGCCCCACCCACCCAAGATGGACCACTGATGTTCCCTAACAATTGGGGTGTGGGAACTGGGTCTCTATAGACTCCTATGAGTCTACCAGCTTGTTCTGGGCAGTACAAACTTAAGGCCTGTCCCGAACACTGAGTCACCAAGTCCATGTGCTCCATAGTCCCAAGGCCCAGGAGGCTGCAGGCATACAGCAGATGCTCCACATATAACTGGGTAAATAAAAACATTACTATAACATTTTTTTTTTGAGTTGGAGCCTCACTCCGTTGCCCAGACTGGAGTGCAGTGGCACGCTCCGGGCTACCGCAAACTCGACCTGCCGGGCTCCAGTGATCCTTCCGCCTCAGCCTTCCAAGTAGCTGGAACTATAGGCGTGCACTACCACGTCTGGCTAGTTTTTGATTTACTATAGAGATGAAGTCTCACCAAGTTGCCTAGGCGGGTCTTGAACCCGCAGGTTCAGGCAATCCACTCACCTCGGCCTCCCAAAGCGCTGGGATTACAGGCTGAACCACCAAGCCTGGCTTACTATAACATTAATAAGGGTACCTGATGCCGAACTAGGTGAAGTGAGAACCAATGGAAGGCCCAAACTTCACCTGCACAATGACCACTTATGTACCTAACCCTGAATTGTACCCCACATCTTTATTTTTATTTATTTATTATTATTTTTTTAAGTTGGAGTCTCACTCTGTCACCCAGACTGGAGTGCAGCGCTGCTCCCGGCCACTGCAGCCTCGACCTGCTGGACTCTGGCAATCCTTCCGCCTCAGCCTTCCAAGTAGCTGGAACTACAGGCGGGCGCGCTACCACGCCTGGCTAATTTTTGATTTATTGTAGAGATGAGGTCTTGCCAAGTTGCCCAGGCGGGTCTCGAACCCGTGGGCTCAGGCAACCCACTCACCTCAGCCTCCCAAAGCACGGGATTATAGGCTGAGCCACCGAGCCCGGCTACCCCACATCTTTAAAATAAATTAATTAGTGGCCAGAGAGCCTCCCATACTGGTGATGATTCTGACTGTCCCCATCTTCAACGAGAGAAAAAACAGCTCAGAGATGAAGCTTCTTCCTCAAAGGTTGGTATAAAAATGGTACCACAGCTCCAAGCACTTTCTGTGTCCCTGCGTCACCTCCTAGTTGATGGGCAGCATACAGTATTTATCACTGGTGTTCCATTCAGCCCAACAGCTGAACACATCAAAATCTGGAATCTCTATAGGTAGCACAGTGCTTGCCTGGCATAGAAGCAGGACGCAGAGGGAAAGAGTATCAAGGCTTCATAAATGTCTACCTAAAGAGCTGACAGATAGAGAGGTGTAACACAAGCTCTGGGGCATCCAATCTGTTTGAGAACCCTTTTTTTTTTATTTTATTTTATTATTTTGAGTCGGAGTCTCACTCTGTTGCCCAGGCTGGAGTGCAGTGGCATGCTCACTACCACTGTGGCCTCAAACTGCTGGGCTCAGATGATCCTTCTGCCTTAGCCTTCTAAGTAGCTAGAACCACAGGTACACACCACCAAGTCCACTTAATTTTTCTGATTTATTGTAGAGACCAGGTCTTGTCAAGCTGCCCAGACTGGTCTCGAACCTGTGGGCTCAGACAATCCTCTTGCCTCCGCCTTCCAAAGTGCTGGGATTACAGGCATGAGAGGTCTTTAAAAGAAGTAAAAAACTGGTCAGACATGGTGGCTCATGCCTGTAATCCCAGCACTTTGGAAGGCGGAAGTGAGAGGATTGCCTGAGTCCAGGGGCTCCAGGCCAGCCTAGGCAATCCTGGAGAGATGAGACCTTGTCTCTACAATAAATTAAAAAATTATTTGTTCCTGGATTTTGGCACCCCCCCCAAAAAAAAATTAGCTGGGCGTTGTGGCACGCAGCTGCAGTTCCAGTTACTCAGAAAACTGAGGTGGGGATGGGCGTGGTGGCTCAAGTCTATAATCCCAGCACTTTGGGAGGCCGAAGGAAGAGGATTGCCTGAGTTCAGGGGTTCGAGACCAGCCTGGGCAACTTGCCAAGACCTGTTGATTATGCAGGTACCCTTGTTGATGAGGTATGCCCCTCCCTCCCCTAGCAGTTTCTCTCAACTGCCAATCCCATCCCCCTTCCCCGACAGTTTCCCACTATTGTCAATCCCTTTCTTACAGTATTATAATTGTTCAAGATGTGCTTAAGAGTGAGAACATGTGGTACTCTGTTCTGTTTCTGTGATAGATCACTGAGTATGATCAACTCTAAGTCCATCCAAGTTTGCTGTGAAGTCCATATGTTTGCCCCTCTTTATGGCTGATTAAATTCCATTGTGGGCCAGGCTCGGTGGCTCAGCCGGTAATCCTAGTACTTTGGGAGGCCAAGACGAGTGGACTGTCTGAGCCCATGGGTTCGAGACCAGTCTGGGCAACTTGGTGAGACCTCATCTCTACAATAAAATAAATATAGCCGGCATGGGTGTGCGCACCTATAGTTCCAGCTACTTGGAAGGCTGAGGCAGAGGATCAGTGGAGCCCAGAAGGTCGCCGCTGGAGTGGCCACGAGCGTGCATTCCACTGCACTCCAGCCTGAGCAAAGGAGTAAGACTTCAACTAAAATTAAAAAATTCCATTGTGTATATGTACCACATTTTTTAATCCAGTTCATCTTTGATGGGCAACAAGGTTGGTTCCATGTTTTTGCTATTGTGACTAGAGCTGCAACAAACGTACGTGTGCAGGTATCTTTTTTGTAGAATGATTTGAGTTCCTCTAGATATACTCCCAATAGGGAAATTGCTGAGTCATATAGGTCAATTTCTAGTTCTTTCAGAAATCGCCATACTGTCTTTCAAAAAGGTTGCACTAGTTTGCATTCCCATCAGCAATGTAGAAGTGTTAAGGCTACTCTTTATATCCAGTAGTTGCATATATCATGCAGTTACTGATTACTATTATTTGCAGCAATGGCAGGACTGACCTCAGATTGTGTGTACAACTGTTTTTCTAATGCTTGGATATACCTGGGTTCTGCTTTCTTCACATATAATTAGGCTGTTTCCTTCATCCCAACAATGTGCTTTCATGTCTTTTACTACTCCCAAACACAGAGATAGATAGGACTGTCAAGGTCTCTATCAAGATGGTCCTTTCAGCAGACAGCAGACAGTAGCTGCTGTCCTGCCTATTGTGCTCTTCACAACATATCTTCAGTTTAATAAATCTACTTCTCTTTTCTTTTTTTTTTTGAGTTGGAGTCTCACTCTGTCGCCCAGACTGGAGTGCAGTGGCCGCTCCCGGCCACTGTAGC